AGTTGTTCTATCGCGCGATGAGTTGTTCTATCGCGCGATAAGTAGTTCTATCGCGCGATAAGTTGTTCTATCGCGCGATAAGTTGTTCTATCGCGCGATAAGTTGTTCTATCGCGCGATAAGTTGTTCTATCGCGCGATAAGTTGTTCTATCGCGCGATAAGTTGTTCTATCGCGCGATGAGTTGTTCTATCGCGCGATAAGTAGTTCTATCGCGCGATAAGTTGTTCTATCGCGCGATAAGTTGTTCTATCGCGCGATAAGTTTATCTGTCGCGCGATAATGTTGATTGCAAATTTTTTGAATGAATGGACTTAGCAAAAGTTATCGCGCGATAAAGTCATGAAAATTTTTGTAGGTGGATGGCCCTTGAGAACCACCGTAGAAACCTTCAATACTGGCTGACTGGCAACAATTCATCGACGTGTCACGTGCTTCTGTAGAGTTGAAAACCCAAATGTCTCCTAGTCAGAGCTATTAAAATCGCAACCACTTTTTAATATTTTCTTGGAACGGCTAATGGGAGTTTAAATCATTTTTAATGTCCGTTCTTGTGTAATACTCTATATCGAAAAATCCCCTTTGACAAAAGCTCCGAAGACTTTGTTGTTTTGACATCTCGGAAAAGATTCTTGAGAAATGAAATATGCCAAGTGTTTTTATAGAAACATGCAGCTTTAAAGAATCAGAGGGAACTCATTTATTGAGAAGTGAAGACTATTAGAATCAAAGCAGATATCAAAATAGCCGTCGAAACCGTAACCACTAATGGGTAAGACACACATTTCATCGTAATATCTTAGGCGTTACTGTCTATCCAAAAATCTCGTCTAAAACAATGACCGATTTTTTTTTGTTTTAGCTGTTTTGACAAAATCATGATAAAAGTCTTCGTCGCGATTTTTCTCCTAATTGACTAAAAACTTTTCGGCTTGCATTATTTATTAAGCTTTTTGAATCCTGTTTTTGAATCACATGGCTTTATCTTAAATTAACAAAACCACATGTGTATCCTGCTGACCGCATTTGGACGTGGCGAATAAATCTGGACAGGTTCCCTGCCAGTTATCTAAACCTGCTCTTAAATATTTCAACAAGACATAACACTTTCGTAGCCTTTTTCAGAACAAGCGAATGGACACTTCTGCAGTAGGTGACGAACATTTCTTTTATGAAAGAACCACCGGATTGTAAAGAATTCGACAATACCACATTGACACTAAGTTGAGTGAAAAGGTAGGTTTTTTACCGTGAAAGATTTATCTGTTTCGAGTATAAAGAAAACCTCTTGTCGAATTGATTCACCATTCTTTTCACCAAGAGCTGAGAAGTTTACCTTCACATTTTATTATCGTAGAACTGATCTCCTTAAAAACAGATTGAGACCTCTGCTGCTTTCAAAACATCGCGTTTGACCTTAAAAAAAAAGTACCAGAGAAGTGATTTAGTACTTAAAACAAAATACAAACAATTAAGAGAACGTGGCTAAAACTGAAGGAATCAGTTCCGTGTAATATCAAATATTCAAATAATTATTTCAAAATTTTCTTTGCTATATAATCCATTTTTTTTAAAAAGGAGTATCTCAAAAAGAAAGCCTCTTTTTTTTGTGTGTGATTACCTTATTTTTAGAATCTTGATATGCATAGCGTAGGCTTTTGAAAATTCACGAAACACCGTTAAGTCTGGGCTTTTTTTTTCTCACCGCGAGGAACTCGAACAGCCTTTTCGTGACTTCTTCGATGACTATCTAAGTTGATTTCCATAGGCTATGCGAACCACTTATATGGAGATATTTACTGCTGCAACCTCTAGGACCGTCTCAAACTGTCCATAACTTCTGTAATCCCAGGTGCACAGCTAAAATTCTCTGTTAGCTAAATTTAGCAATTATTTTCAGAGTCAGCAATACTCAACCTACCTGCCGATTTAAATGAATAAATGAATGCCTGATTTTAAAGAAATTTCAATATACCCAAAAGCTATTATGTTTTCTGAAAATTTGAAAAAAATGAACATGGTGATCTTGTGTGCGCCTCTAAACCTTAAATAGGACCTCACTGACCCAAACTTTGCAAACTCGAATTTCGCGTTAACTCGATCACGACGACGAGAATCGTTGACGGTGCCCAGTGGTACAGGGATTTCAATTTGACCATATAAATGTCGTTGATTAAATTCGCTAGATTCACCTTATGCGCCCGTTGCTGCGACTTTCATCGCTCACCACTGCGAATAGCCGGTAAAGTCTGCCAATCAGTTTTCATTAGTAATATATATTTTTGTATAACTTTTCAAAACGAAGCCTGAAACATCGAAGGAGAAAGAGCGCTGCGATCGGTGCAAATCTTGTCAAGTGAGCCCGTGTATCAAACAATTTTCACTGGCAGTCATTATCTTTGCTATAAGAATCGCCTGTTGTATTGCCATTGCCAGGTTTAGATTATTTCCCCAGAAGAAAGTTTCTTTAGTTATTTCTTACCAGTTAACTCGAACTCCCTTCATGTCGAATCGTTTCCCTCATCAGCACGAGTGAGCGGGGTTATAATGTATACCCACTGACTCACTGAAACGTTTGATAAAATATCAACATATACATATTTGCGCCTGTTATAAAGTATAAGGCGCAGTCGGTGATTCTAAGGATCATCATTCGTTTATTTTCCGTTTTACCAGTTTTGGAAATTACAGAAGTTCGGGAGAAAAAGCAGGCTTACGGGATGTTTTGCGCTTAACCTAACAAGTTGTATTAGAATACAATTTTTTCAAGGTGCGGTTCCCTTTCAAAATCTCTTTTTAAACCACTGTGCTTACTTAGCCGTATCTTCGAGGTACAACTGGAACTATACAATCTTAGCCTAGCCTCACCGGCAACAGGGTGAAATACAGGAAGAACTCAAGTGATCCACTGAGTTGAATGTTCTCAATATAACGGCTGTACGTACTATTAATCTTCTTTTGAAATGCTCTGGTGAACGAGACTAAACAAATCATGCCGCCAGGCTCAATATTTTGGTTTAAGGAGGATTTTGTCTCAAAATCTCAATTACCCTTCATGCAATCTCTTAATTTGTTCACCTGTATCAAACCTAGGGAAAGAAAGTGCTCAGTCAAGTTTATAAGGTTCTCAAGGTCAGTCAAAGATAAATATAACAATATTAAAACTAAAAGAAGCTACCAAATAAAAAGGCTTTCATCACATCGAGATTCCATCCAATGTTACACAGTCTTAAAATAGCCAAGTTAATCTCAGAATCCCTGCTCACATGAATGGCAACACTCTGTTAGATATATCTGCACCTTGCCTTTGCTCTTATTATTAAGCTAGGCTCTTAACCTTTTATTAGTAAGAGCACCTCACATCCTACGCTATGGTAAGTGGATGAGGGCAATCACTTCCTAACGGACGACTGCGTGGGACGCTTTGAAAACATCCTTGTTTCGTTATGGTCTATTTAGACCTCCGCTTTTGTCTACCCGGGACATTGAAATCGCCATTTATTAAAAGGTGAAGCTATGATTAAGAATTCACGAATAAGGAGAAACATCGAAAAGGTTGCAGTAAACCGCATGCGGCAGCGCGGAACGAGATTGAGGTTGTTTAGGAATGAAGACGATTACCAAGGTTTGCAATTGAGAAATGTGCAAGGAAGGTTAAATTTTTCGCGATATGGATGGAAATGTTACTGCTACATTGTTTCATTCAGGTTTTCTCTAATTAGGGATTTTCTTCATTTAGATACAAATATTTATCTTTGGTCAGGTTTCCAGTAACTGATGAGCCCAGCAGTTTGTTTCCATGGATAATATTACAACAAAGGACATCCACACCTTAGCAGGAGGAAAATCATTCAACTGGCGCGCTATGTACTTCGCCTATGCCATGGTCATGTTTGCTGTTGTAACTGTTGGATTCCTTGGAAATGTGTTAACCCTGATAATTCTTCACTATCGAGAGCACCGCAAGAAAGTCGTGACCCCGCTGATGACCAACCTAGCAGTTGGAGACATTCTTATAGTTATCGTAGTGTACCCCGTGGCAATTGCGTCGAATCTTGTTGACCAACCGCTCAAGGAAGGATCACTGCGATGCAAGTGGTCCGCCTTTGCAAATGGCGCTATTGGTATAACCGCTATCGCGACATTAGTTGTGATGAGCGGTGTTATGTATTACGGTATCAAACAGACTTTGCCAAAAGCTAAAATACATGCTAAAAATATGTTTCTGCTGGTGTTAGGTACGTGGCTATACGGGATATTGCTCAATCTACCTCCTGTGATTGGCTGGACCAAGGCTGTACCCGGTAAAGCTGGGATAAGCTGCGCCCCTGAGTGGACAACTTCTGAGATGGGTGGCGTAGCGTACATTGTCTTCGTATTGGTTTTTGGCTTCTGTCTTCCGCTTACTGTAATTGGAACGTTTCATTACATGATCTATAGGTATGTGCTCATTATTGAATAAGTCCTTAGATTCAAGTTACGCTGACCATATGACGAAAGATCAATTGTGTTTCTTCAACACAATTAGAGGTAGCTTTCTTAGCCGCTGCCGCAGTGAGTTTCATTGACCCTGTTTTCCCTAAGAGTGACCAGCATCTAATTTCTCCTTGCAATATCACCCCCGAAAATCACACATTAAGTTTCGTGAGAATAGGGGAAATGATCGCCAACTAACACAGCTCTTGATTGTCAAACAAATTCTTATCAGTTTCTTGAGAAACGGACAGGGAACAGTATGGGGAATATACGCACTGATTATAGGGTATAAAATGGTTAACAAGCTTGAAATTTGATGGAAGAGGCTGATGGTATTGCCAATGACAAATTATTAGGCCAAGTGGTTTAGAAGAAATTTGAAAATGGTCCTGCTTTTCCAAACTATTTTCGGTCGAAAGTTCCTTTTTATTTCCCATCTAAACGATCTCCGTAGAATACGCGACTTTGCCAATACTGAGCCAACACGCTGGGATTGGCCAACGCTGTACCAGGTCCCTCAAGGGGCAAGTTGTTTCTTTGTTGTTGTAGGGTATGGAAACACTTCACAGATGTTTTAAATAGTGTATGTTTGCAAACACTTTTTCGCCTCATGATCGGCCGGGGAGAACGTGTAACAATAACTGAAGATATCCCGAAAGTTACATGTTCATGACATTTTCAGCTTCGATCACAATTGTATCAGCGTTTTCATGATGTGCCTATTTTCCGTTCCTATTCTTGATTTTTTTCGTAACAAAGAATTCTGAAAGTTGAATAATTTCATGGCAAAATCTTCGATTGAAGAATACCTTTTGGTCATATCATCACCTAAAATAATATATGTTTACGGGTCCAAGTAATAGCCCAAATGTCGCAAAGCTTCTCTTGAAATCGCTTTAGTCCTTATCGCCTTTGTGAACCGCAACTTTCATTAATCCAAATTAAACAACAAAGATCGAGGCTGTGCGAACAATCAATTTGCTCCCTAAGAGACTTGAATCCCAGCATTGATTTGAACGCACAGAATTAGCAAAGTGGCGTAAAGAAAGCCACAGGAATCTGTATGCCCGGCTTTAAAGGCGGGTACCCCGCGTAAGTAACACTACCCGACTACGGGGGCTACAAAGGGGGCCATCTCGTCGTGACAAAACAGAGACTTCGTTTGATCAATACTCAAAAGAATTTCAAACAAGAGCAGATATGTTTGTTTTGAACAAATTAATCAGGTACTGCCTTCGAACACTCTTCTAGGAAAGAAATTTTAAAGGGAAGTTTTCCCAAGCTATATCTAGACCATGAACAACTGTGGATAACGTGAGCATAACAGGTGAATTCTTAATCAAAGCCTAACGTTAAACGAGAGGCAAACAACGGGCAAGGACGGTATCATTAAGTTCCAGACTCTGCTGTATGTTTTCAGCATCAATATATATAGGAGCACATGTTCCAGTCTCAAAACAGAGCAAGAATATTTATAAGTGGACTCAAATGTTAAAGGGGACTGCAGTCATGCAGAGATGTTTCACTTTAACCCTATTTAGCCCTACTTTAACCCTATCTAGTCTGCTCCCGAATTTCGTCTGTCATTTCTTTTATCTTCCTCAGGGTAATTCGACGAGTACCTCTGGAAGGAAACCCGATGATTCGAGCATGTCGAATGAAATCTAAAATGAGGCTTGTGCGCATGACATCTTTTTCTATTGCCGCGTTCGTGATAAGTTGGTTGCCGTATAGTGTAGTAAGCATGGTTGCTCTCATAAATGGCCGTCACGTGATTTCATCCGGGGAAGCGGAAATTCCTGAACTGATGGCAAAGGCGTCTGTAATTTATAACCCCATCGTGTATGCCTTCACAAATGGTACCTACCGTCCTTCGCTGAAGGGATTGTTTCTCGGTAGTAATAGCGTCATTCGGGTTAATCCGTCAGTTCTTAGAAACAGTCCAGCGCCGAGTAGTTATGTGAACTCAGTAATTATCAATCCACAACAAGAGGACACAGCTTTATAATGGTATTTATTGTTGCATTCTAAATCAAGTGCAACACAAAAAACAGAAAGCCGTTCAAGAACTATCTTAGCGGCAAAAATGATGCATGACAGCGGTCACAAACCTAAAATAAACCTACAAGAACGCATGTTAGCGAAAATAACAAGGCAGTTTCCAGCGCTGACGGGTACGATGTACAAGTTATTTAAATACACGAGTACTTCTTACGCACGGGTCATAAACAAATCTAAAACATTCATCCCACTTGTTTTAAGGGAACACTAGCTACGGAAGAAAGGAAAGCTGGATACCATCATGATTATGATGTTGAATGACCATTCCGTTAACGACACAATCCACACCAATATTGTAAACGCGCCACGTGCTCTTTAGGTTCAATGCAGCGAATGCTCTTCATATTTCCCACACAGTCTCTCGCAAACCAGATCGAACCAAAGCTTTCAAACCCTCAAAAGGAGCCGCTCATCCAAGAAGCAATGTGTCGCGTTTTTATTCAAGTAATAATAATAATAATAAATAATAATAATAAACAGTTTTTAACGTGGAGAAACACTCAGCTAGAAGCTAGTTTACAGATTTTCCACCAAACAACTGAAACAAATAATTCAAATTGAAAATAACATTATTATGAATCCCAACTGGCCGAAGGCAAACCAGTTGGCTATATTACAAGCATGGCCAAGGATTTGAAACTCGGGGCTACCGTGAAACAAATCCAGGTGGTGGCCAGGGCGGGACTTGAACCCGGGAGCGGCGGATCGCAAGTCCGACACGCTTACCGCTCGACCACGCTGCCTTGGCCCCTTCCCCATTGAGGAATAGCCACAAAAGGAATGAGGAATGCTGTCTGATAATCTTGCACTAAAAATGGTTTAAAATAGAAGCGAGATGCCCGACTTTAAAAAGTGGCGATGAGATTGTAAGTGTATTTTGCGCTCTGGTACTGCCACGCCCCTTCCTCTTTTGAGATCAAATCCAAGGCCTGCCGGAATGCAATACGTTTATTGTAATATAAAATGGGATTGACAGTTTTCACTTTGGTTCGTGTGTTGGGAACCATTACCTGGCTGTGCACAGAGAAGCAACTGCAACATACTGTTATCAACAAGTGTACATTTAAAAATAAACCTAAAAAAGTTAAAACCGTGATTCATTACTGTCAGGAAACATTATCAAATGACAGAAAACAAGTCATGGAGGGCAAATTGAACACTCTTCCCGCGTTGTCTCTCGGATTAAGCAAGCGAATCCAAACGGGAACATTCCTTCCATTCGCTTTGTTTTATTTCTCGCTTCAGTCAGTCATTCGTTCAATGTCAATGTAGTTCAGTGCCAACAATCGGACATTATCGGCTAACGCTCCAGTAATGTTTACCAAGTATGCGGCACTCAGGTCTGTCACCCTTGGAACGACATTATGCTTGGGAGAGACGAAAACAAAGAAACATCATAATGGGAAGTAATTAAAGTAATCAGCTAAATTTAAAACTAATCATGCAGTACAATTTTCTGAGATTGTAAGGTTTGGAATGTATATCCGCAAACATCCTCTGAGCAAATCCAATATATTAGCACTCCAGCACGAGCGTATCTTCGCTCGCCGGAAAGTATGAGGCCTTGAGCAACTCGAGCCGGCGACAGGGGTTTGCAAGGGGCCAACCTGTCCCTGACTAGTCTCCAATCTGCCCGCGGGTGGAAATACGCGTCCTGCAGCGCTTTTTATGAGGGCCTGGTCACAGGCTAACCAACCAACCGACCAATACTCCGCAACGTGAACAAGTGGACTGATCGATCTAAAGACTTTAATCATTACATTAGGTGGAACGGTGATACTAAGTGCAGAGAAATGTTTCTGGTTCGGAATAGAAGAGCTCTGTAAATCTTATAAAAACTTGTTGCAGCAAAAAGCGCGTTAACTCAACTCTAGAGGTAAACATTTCTGCTTACTTTGTTATGGCCTTCTGATCTGTATCCCCACACTTAAGGAGTTCTTCTCGAAATACAGAATAGCCTAAAAAGAAATAACTAAAAGGCGTTACATAACACCCGCTTTCCCTTTGTTTTTTTTTTTTAAAGAAATGGAAATGAATGGTTTTCAGTGGAAAAGAGAAATTCAAAGAAAGATCATAGTCATTTATCCCGAGAAAGGGACCAAGAAAATCTATGGGAGATGAATCCATCTCCATCATCGCTAAGAACTGCTCTAAAAGAAAGAATAACAAACCTTCTGCGCTTCTTGATTGAAAGACTTGACTTATTTGACGCAGAAATTCCGAAAACAACTTCATAAGAACAGTTTCATTCTATAATAAAAAAAAAACAAAAACAAAAAAACGACAAACAGAATATGAAACTCGAGACCTAACAATAAACGATAAATAGCCATGAAAGCTTTTCTTCTTTTTTTTTTTAAATGTGTTTTTCCCTTTACCAGAAGAGGAAAGGAATGTTACTGAATGAAAAACGATTCTCGATATTCATGCTCTCCATAAAAAAACTAAAGAAGCCTGCGAAAACATATTCTTTACCATGGCGGGATTCTATTGTGTTCCTGCCAAAAGCACTTAAGCCCTTTCTAACTGAGAATCCTCGGCGAGGAAACACCAGGAACGGAGAAGATAAAGCCTGCAATAGGACTGATGGAACCCTATGCCAAGCCCCCGCCCCCTAAAGCCTTCCAAGTGGAAAAACGTCCTTACGCTACACCTGTACCTCGTTCTCATCTTCCCAGCTGTCCCAATCAGAGAATTCTTCATTGTCCAAGCTTATTTCTGGGCTGGGCAATCGTGTTGTACCTCGACTACTCTCATGTGACGTGTCCAGAGCTACTGACTCTTGCATTACACGACCAGCGTCTAAACAATCGATCAAAAGAAGACGTGAAAGGCACCAAACTCGATTAACCTTAAACCTGTAAACTTGCATCTGAGTACAGCATTTACCAGGAACCTTAGCAGTAAAATGCGAATACAAATACCACGTAGACTTTTTGAACCCAAGCAAATGCGCACATGCACAGGATGCTCTTGTATCGTTCCCTAATTAAGAGTTTGCCTCTCCTCATTGGTCATTTACAAATTAGACAGAGGGGTCTAAGAACTTGCTGTGTCTTGTATTGTACCGTATTGATATAGTGACAATATTGAACCAAAATATATTAGACTCAAGTCAATTTATTGATTGGCTGGCTCGGAATTGGTTAGAAAATTACGAAATGGTTGCCAAGACTGTTTGATCCGCTAGTCATTCAGCTTGTGTGGTACACACTGTACACACTGTACACGCCCAAAAAAATTATTCACTTCAGCATCGGCGAGGGAGGTTGCTACTCACCTCACCGCGTTACGGCTCGGTGAATATTATCGGTTGGCTAGATTATGAGTATATTCTTCACTGAAAACTCTGCAAGAATTTGGACTGCCGATTTTGTGTCAGGAGTCAAACAACTCTCTTTTCAGGTAAGTTACAAGTAAGTTCCATGAGGTACTAACCAGGATCCTCCTCGTCTTCGCCTGTTATGATGAGTTCCTCTGCAGGACTGGTCGGTATATCGTTAGACAGGATCAGTAAATCAGGTGTCTCGTTCAATCTGTTGCTGCCTTCGTCCTCACTCATAAGACGCACCAGGTCGGGTTCCTGAATACGAGACAAGAAACGGAGACTTGAAATCGGGTAGTTTTACCATGTTACGTCCTGAAGTTCAATCCATCTGCTATCTACTGCTTTCAAAGAAGTAACGAGAAATCTGCTCTAATCAAAATATTAATTTTCTTTCTCTGACTGATTTGTTTCTTCTCTGTATTAATATTTGAAACAAGTTACGAGTAAATCAACTGAGTCGCAATGTTAACATGAAAAGAGAACAAACAATAATTGGCCTACGACACAAAGAAATCAGATCGAAAGAAATAAACATGTGATATAGATAAAGAGAATTATCAAACGAGGCAAAAAATTTACCAACGGAGTCGGGAGAAATCCACCATTATATGGGTTATTATAGATTTATTTTCTTTTGGTTCTTACTGGCTCTTTGCATATGGAATACTTACATAGTCCAGCCTGTTACTGATGGCTTTGAACACAAAGCTGAGAAATGTAGGTTGATCAAGAAAAATGCAAACTCGAATGAACACTTCAAGGACCTCCCGCACCACCTGTAACTCCAACTCCTGGTGACGAAGAGGTAAGATAGGCAAACATTAATTTCACTATCTATGGATGCTTTTTAAGAAATGAATTGTCAGCCTGGTATTAAAAGGTCATTCCAGAGAATTTCCATTATTTTTAACTCGCTGATTACAAGAACTACCATTTATCTCGTGGTTCAATCACTTTCGATGTGGATTGCAACATTTTAACTGCAGACTGCTTAAAGAATAGCAGAATGCAGTCGAAATTTCATGATCCACATCAGAAGTGACAACATTGTGAGACAAACGACAATACTTAAATTTCTAATGAAGCGTAAGAATACTAGTCGGTAGAAGTTACCTTCGTATTAATTACGTCTCTGAGGCCAAGAAGGGAGAAATCCAGATAGGTCTGCACCAGCGAGTGTACATCGTCTCTGCAAATCACACAAAAGATAGGAGAATCATAACAAAAGACCATACTTTCGGCCATTACACCCGCGAGCGCACTTGCGCTGAAGCTATGACCGATCAGTTAAAAAATTCAACATCCCAGCGGGCAACCAACAGGCGTTTGATCATCGTTCGTACCCGCGGGGTGGGGAATCTGAACCTAGCCTCGGTGGGGTGGGGAATCTGAACCTAGCCTCGGTGGGGTGGGGAATCTGAACCTAGCCTCGGTGGGGTGGGGAATCTGAACCTAGCCTCGGTGGGGTGGGGAATCTGAACCTAGCCTCGGTGGGGTGGGGAATCTGAACCTAGCCTCGGT